ATACTTTGGCCTTAAAGTAGTTTGGGGCCAATGTATATACTATAAGAGTACATGGACCCTTAGGGATATGCTGAGCCGTTCTAGGCTTTAGGCTTTTAAGGCTCTTAAGCTCGTCTACATGCAGGCTTAACTCTTACGGCTCAGAAATGGATCATTCTAGAGGTGCTATGCGCGCCTGGTTGAGAGCCCCTCGTGTTTGTTGTCTACCCAGTACTTATCAACAGCAAGACATCGAGGTCCGGTGCCTCTTGGAATGTCCTGTCAGACACAAACCTTGTCTGAATCCAATCGTCCAGGGTGCGGGCTCCCGGTTGGGGCTATCCCGAAGGGTCCAAGTAATAATTTGTAGGCATTTGGTCCCCCAAAGTATATACTATACTATATCTTGGACCCTTTGGGTATATCAAGAATTGTCGTGTCTAATCCTTGTTGGGCTTTGTTGTAACAAACATGCAAACTTGTAGCCAAACAAGGACCAAGGGTTTGGGGTGGGGGTTTCGAGCAGGGTCTAGGGTTGGGGGAGCTGCCTCGGCGCGTGAGCCTCCACGTCGAGGTCACCCAGACCTGAGCATAGAGCTTAGGGTTTAGGGTTGTAGGGCCTCGGGTGTAGAGTTTAGGGTACAGAGCTTTGATGCTGGTTGCAACACGAAGGGGCGTTTGAGACAGTGGGCTGTGATTCGAGAAAGCTTATGACGCCTTCCTGTTACAAAGAAAATTCGCGAAGCTTCGTTGACTTCCTTTCGCTTCCTATGAACTGTCGGAAAGTTTACAAACCTACAGCTACTTCTATCCTAAACACCAAACCGCCAACCCAAGGCCTAATTATCACATGTCACCCGCCTGGCTGAAATACAGTGAGATAATCCGTGCTTCACAGGCCTTGCTAGGCTATCGGATGATCCCATTTTGTGCGATGCGCGTGGCCGTTGGCTCAAGTTTTGTTAGGGCTAAGGGCCTAGACTGTTGAATGCGGAACATTTTAGTCCTAAGCATTCCTAGAGGGTCCATATACACTACCATTATGGAATTAGGTCCCAAAAGACACTTCCTCCTGTGATTTTGGGACCTAGTTTCATAATCGTAATTAGTATTTATGGACCCTTCTGGAATGATAAGCCGCAAACCTACAGACTGATCCCAAAGATGCAGAATCAACATGTCACGCGCACCCGGAGCTAGTCTGGACATCATGATCCCTTCATAGAGCCAGGCGGCCAAAGCGAGACTGCAACTTGCAGCGGTACCAGCAACCCCTAAACCCCTATTAAACCCTAATACCCCTATTATGTAATCCCCGCGTGAAGGGCCCCAGAACCTCTATACAAGTCCCTCACAGGCTTTCGAGGGTCTCTGGCCGCGTCGTCCTAAGCCCGGAAACCATAGATCTTTAGCCCACCATCCTCCCCCTTTAAACGGACACACATACATATACTTAAACATATATCTACATGTGGGTGCATGTGTATGAATATCTACATGTACGATATGATATGATATGATACGATATGATATGATATGATATGATATGATATGCTATGATATGATATGATATGACATGACATGACATGATATGATAAGAGGAATATATATATATATATATGTATATATATATATAAATTAAATAAATAAATAAAGAAAAATAATATATATATATATACACACACACATGTACCTACAGTTGCTGATGCGTGAAACAAACACCTGTTCGCTCCAAGACTCCTCGTTGCCTAAAGCGCTGGGCAGCTGGATGCAGCAAAGCATAAGGCCTTGGGAACCTGGGTAAAGGACTTAGGGTGCTGGGGGTTTAGGGTTTAGGGTTTAGGGGTTTAAGGGTTTAGGGCTTAAGGGATTAACGGTTTGGGGGTTTTGGGCTTAGGGTTTAAGGGTAGGGTCTAGGTTTTATTGCGGTTTAGGGTTTGGCGCTTACCTTCACCTACCAAGGCCCACATTTTTTGCAGGGACCCTATAACTCGCATATTCGGGCTTATAATCAGAGGCTACAAAAGAAAGTAGGATATGGTAGTGTTTGGGGTTTCGCGATTGCGACCAAGCTCCTCGGAAAGCTATGTATATGGATTGGGGTTGAGGGTTTTGGGGTTTAGGGCTTCGAGTTTCTTTAAAGTCCATTGCCTCGCACGGGCGTCCTGCCTTTTTAGGCGTGCACCAAGTTCAGGGTTTAGGGTTCGGGGTGTGGAAACTCTTGGCAGGGGATGCAAAAGATTTGCGGCAAGTGAAACGAAGTATGTGACGGACCATGCACCGGAGCCGAAATGTTGCTGCCTTCTCCGGATACTTGGAATAAACGGTTTAGGGTCTAGGTCAACATGAACAGAGGTATATTATGGAACTTCGGAATTCGGGGATGGGGCTTGCAGTGCCAAGTGACACCTGCTCGCATGTAGCTCCCTCTGTTGGGGCTCTTGGTAGAGTTCTGTCGGGGGATCTAAACATAATAAAACAATATTAATAATACACTAAACTTTCTATAATCATAATATAATAATACTAATAACAGGGTTCGCAACAAATCTTGAACGAGACAGCAAGCTGCATAACAGTCCTCAAACCAGCCCCAAGATGCTTATTCCTAAGGGGCCTAATCCTCAAGACTGATGTGCCCCCGAACTCTAACTCGTCATGACGATCCTCAACTCCACTACCTAACCCTTCGGCACTTTCGCCATACTTTTTAAGCCTTGAAGGGGCTCCTATACTTTAAGTCGGACATTGCAGTATCTACTGTAGGCACAAAAAGCTAAGCCACAGAATCTAAGGTAGAACCCATGGGCCCCTAGTATGGGCCCTTAACCCTGGGACCCTAATATGCCTACTATATGCCCTCTATATACATATATATATATATATATATACCCTTAAGGGACCCTAGAATTCCCTAAGGGCCCATGTTAAGGGCCCATGGGTTCAACCTAAGACAGAAGCCGCGGCCTAGGGCCTAGCGCAAAGCCAAACTTGAGCTGCGGAGCGATAGTTGCCGTGGCTCAGGCGAAGCCTGTCCAGGAGTGAGAGAACAGAATAGGGTTTAGGGTTTAGGGGTTTAGGGGTTTAGGGGTTTAGGGTTTAGGGTTTGGGGGTTTAGGGTTTAGGGGTTAGGGTTTGATTTCTAAATCATCTGGGTAGTTCTCTAAATGAGGCTTCCTGTTGGGGGATCCCTTTTATAAGTCTGCCGCACTATATTGGGGACCCAACAGGGACCTCAATTTAGAGAACGACTCATCGCAAATGTTCTGCAAGAAGATCCTCCCCTAACAAGGGTAACCGAGATAGCATGATGTGTTCATAATCTAGAACTTATTTCATCTAAGGTATTCAGAGAAGGAACTACATCTAAACAACAGTCTGGGTCAATCCCAACAAACCCGAAACCCTAAAGACTAAACCCTCCAACATGTGGGTAGTTCTGTAAACTAGGGCTTTTTTGGGGGGTCCTTTTTCTAAGGGTGCCGTACTATATTTGGGACCTAGAAGGGGACCCTAATTTAGAGAACTACCCATGTCAGGGCTGGGCCGCCAACTACAACGGTTTAGGGTTTAGCGGCCAGCACACAATCGGTAGTCGAAGCCACATTGTAAAGATTTAGGGCTTTTAGGACATGCAAAGATTTAGGGCTTTCAGGACATTGTAAAGGTTTGGGGCTTTAGGGTTTAGGGTATAACGAAAAACCGTAAACACCCGAACCCTAAACCCCCAAACCCTAAACCGTAAACCCTAAACATCTATGTGGCATGACTTCTCCTGAGGGATCCTGTTGTCTAAGCTGTGGTCGTCAAGGAAGCAGGGTTTAGCAAGCCTTTCCTCGAAGTCCAAAGAAATCATAATTCGTAACCCTAAACGGGGACGGTTTAGGCGTTTGGGGCTTAGGGTTTAGGCTATATATCGCAAATAGTATTGGTGTCCAGAATCCCAGTCCGGATCGAGGCTGGGAGTGTGTGTTGTGTGTCTTGTATCACTCGAGCCACGGCGTCCACAAAACGGTTTAGGGTTTAGGGTTTAGGGATTATAGGGTTTAGGGAACCCTAAATCCTAAACCTTAAACTCTAAACCCTAAGCCCTAAACCTTCCTTCCACAGTCGACTGCCTGCGACCGAAGGAGATCCGGTGTCGACAGGCTCGAACTGGATATTGCAGCGGAGAAGGATCCGCTGTCCTGGGATTAGGGTTTAGGGTTTAGGGTTTAGGGTTTAGGGCTTAGGATCAAGACGGTGGAGGGTATCAAAATATCATCCCTTTGGCTCCTGGCACTCATAGTATGGCACAAAGGGCCCAAAGACCATACTATATGAGTCGACGGGGCTTTTGGGCGAGTTATAATATATATATATATATATATATAGCTTTATCTATAAATATAGGCATCTGTTTATACCGACAGATAAAAATATAACTCCGAAAAAGCTTGAACCCCAATGGTTGAGACGGCTTTGCAGTCTCCGTTGAGTGTGTAGTTGATTTCATGCTTTCTTCGGAGTGGCATTTGACCGGTCAGTTTCGGTGTATATGGGCAGTTCTCTATAACAAGGACTCCAACAGGGAAACCCCAAACCTGTAATCCTAAACCAGGGTCCAGGGTTTAGGAGCCTATGCGTTCCCTAGCGGAAGCCTAACAGAATGCTTCCCTTACGGGCACCCCTAGATCTTTGAAAGAACCCCTTGGGAGAAGTCTCAGAAAAGCCTAGGGTTTAGGGTTTAGGTTTTAGGGTTCGGCAAAAATAGGTTTGTGGTGAAGGGTTAGGGGTTTAGGTTTTATGGTTGAGGAAAAAATTTTGGGGTTTAGGGTATAGGGAAAATAGTTTTAGGGTTGAGGAACAAATTTGCGGTTTGGGATTTAGGGAAAATCGTTTTAAGGTTTAGGGCTTACAGGGAAAATTGGTTCAGGGGTTCAGGGTTTACGGAAAATAGAACAAAATTTCTGCTCCCAGTTGGTCGCACGGATTCCAAGGTTGTCGATCGGGTGAGCTCATGACCCAGTCCGTCGCTAGCACTGCCTCGATTGGTCAAGGTTTGGGATGTGGGCCTGGGGTTTAGGCTCTAAAGGGTTTCCTTGGAAATTAAGGCTTAGGGTTTTGGCTTTTAGCATACATTGCATTCTATGTGAATGCGTGGCTATATTCTTTGGAATTGAAAGCTCAGGTTTGTGGGGTCTAGGCTTAGAGTGCAGGGATCAGTTCAAGGGTCGGTTAATGGCTCGATGCTGGATTCTTGAAACGTATATGGGGTTATGGGGTCAGGGTTTCGGGTACAGGAAACTTGCCAGAGATCGGCAAACATCAGCCATAGTTCATGTTGGACTATGATGTGACCAAAGTGAGGAACATGACTCTCTCGGGCCTCAGCTCACGCCCACGCACTTGTCATCATGACATCTACAAGCTGAGTTCAATTTCCTTCCGTCCAGCCATTCATCCTTCCATCCATGTGCATACATGCATGCATGTGTCTTATCATGTACATCACATCATTTTTAAGGGTGCCGTTAAGAGTTCCTTTAGTTTTCGAAATTGTGCACCCAAGGTTGCCTCGCTATGCAGTTCCACTCTTGCTGGATCAGAGGTCTTGCTAATTATCACATCGTGCTTGGCGGTTTCGGGTTAAGCCCCTCTTGCATAAACCACAAGCCCTGCAAACCAAACCCTACAAGGCGAGTAAATGTTCAGGGTTCAGGGTTGTGGTGTTGAGGGTTTAGGGTTTAGGTTTTAGGGTTTAGGGTTTGGGGTTTAGGGTTTTAGGGTTTTCGGACAGAAAGCCATGTAAAGTCACCCTTAACAAAATCACAGCAGCATCTGTCCGGGGTGCTGCCCGACAGCTGCAAGCCTCGAATCATCTCCTCGTCTAGCGCTTCGGGTGACTTGACTAGAACTGAGTTCTTGGATACACCACCCTGAACCCTAAACCCTAAAACCCTCTAC